TTCTTTCATATGGGCTATCTTAACAAAGCTCTAAATGAAACTCTAGTCACACTAATTCCTAAAATTGATACCTCATTGAATCTTTCTTGTTTTAGACCAATCAGCTTGGGCAATGTTGTTTATAAAATTGTTTCCAAAGTACTTGTTAATAGAATGAAACCTATTTTGAATGATTTCAATGGTATTGCTCAAGCTGTTTTCGTTCCTGGGAGACAAATAGTTGATAATGTGGACTTCATTTGGATTAGCTATTTTTTGAGGTGTTTTTGAAATATTTTACTGTAACAGTGTATATGAAAAGCTTTTTATTGTGAATGTTTTTTGTGAAGTTTTTGGAGATTTTTTGGCATATATTTTGGGGGTATTTTTAAAGTTTAAAAATTTTTGTATTATTTTTTAACGCACCACCGCCACCATCCCCTCCCTTGTCTTCTCTCTCTTTCTTCCTCCTTCTCCCTCCTCCCTCTCTTTCTTCCTCCTCCATCTCTTTTCTCCTCCCATTTTCCTCATCCCTTTCTTTCCTTCCCTCCTTCCTTCCCCTTTCTCTTCCTCACCCTGCCACACCTCACCCCTCCCTGATTTGCCCAAGGCTAGATCGATGCCTCTAGTCATGACATCATGGTTAGATCATAGGAAGGGGAAGGGAGGGAGGTGTGGCAGAAAAGGGGAGGGGAAGGGGAAGGGAGAGGAAAGAGGAAAAAGAAGGGGATGGTGGTGCTGATAGGTAAGGGTGGTGGTGAGTGATGGTGATAGATGAAAGAAGAAAATAGTGTAGATTTTATTTTTTATTTTTTATTTTTGTATATTTGAAATTGTTTTTGATATATTGTATGAATATAATGTTTTTGGAGTTATTTTTGTTTGTGTGTGTAGTGCAGTATTGTATATGAAAAACTTGTTTTTCAAAAAATAAGGAATCCAAATGGAGCTTTGATTATTGCCCATGAACATATTCATCGGATTAACCATAAGAGGGGTGGTAAGGAGGGGTAAGTGGCTCTTAAATTGGACATGTCTAAAGCCTGTGAGGGAAGAATGGAAGTCTTGGCTTTGTGTCCTTAATAAAATGGGTTTTTGTCCTTTGTGGATCAAGGGATGCTTGTCTTCCTATTCTTACCCCTTTAACATCAATAGGAATAAGTTAGGCTATGTTTGTCCATCCAGAGGTATTCGCCACGGAGACCTACTATCCCCCTACTTGTTCTTTTTCTGTGTTGAAGATCTAGCTAGTCTTTTGAATCCTAATTGCATGAAAGGATAATTACTGGAATAAAAATCTCTAGAAAGGGCCCTGCTATATCTCATTTAGTTTTTGCCGATGATTCATTGAAATATTGCAAAGCCAATGCTTAGGAAGCTAGGGAGATCACTAGGATTCTTCAGGTCTATGAACAAGCTTCAAGTCAAAAAATCAACATTGAAAAGTTTATTGTCCTTTTTAATAGAAACACCACCCAAGCAAACAAACATGATGTGCTCCAAATTTTTGGCAACACCTAGCATGTAACCCAAGCAAAATATCTTGGACTTCCTATGGTTATAGGAAGATCCAAGAACAGCACCTTTAGATTCCTCAAGGATAAAATGACAGGTAAGCTACAAGGATGGAAAGGAAAAATGCTGAGCAATGTGGGCAAAGAAGTCCTCCTCAAATCTGTTGCACTAGCACTGCCATCCTACACCATGTCTGCTTTCAAGCTTTCAAATGGACTATGCAAAGAACTGAGTGGCACGATGGCCAAGTTTTGGTGGGGAAACAATCAGGGTAAGGGGAAAATACATTGGAAGAAATGGTGGGACTTGACTGACACAAAGGGCAAAGGGGGTCTAGGTTTTGAGAAATCCAGTGCTTTAATAATGCACTATTAACCAAACAAGTTTGGAGACTTCTTACTAACCGAAACTTGTTGGTTAGTAATGTCATGAAAGGAAAACACTTCCATAATTCCTTTATTTTGCAGGCCAAAGTAAAAGACGTGTTCTTCATGGATCTAGCAGAGCCTCCATGGTGCCATCCCCTTGTTGGAAAGTGGATCGGAAATGGAAGCACAACAGCAATCTGGCAAGATAGGTGGCTTCCCTATAGCAAATTTGAATTGATAACCTCAATAAAACCCCAGAATTGCAGTGTGGAAAGAGTTAGTGACTTGATCACAGGCAAGAGATGGAACACCAACCTCATTCAATCCATTTTCTCTCAAGAAGGAACTGAACAAATCATGATGATTCCCCTCAACATATAGGACAGGAATGACAGGTTTAATTGGAACCACAACACCAATGGAAATTATATCACCAAGTCAGATTATGTACAAGCTAGAATCAGGATGATTGACAAGTGCATGAAGGATCAAATATCAGGTAGCACTAGTACAAGAAAGGATGATTCAAGACTCTGCACCAAGTTTGGGATCTGAACATTAAGCACGAAGTGAAACATTTCTTGTGGAAATATCTTCATAACATTCTACCCACCAATGTGGAAGTGTATAGAAGAACAGGCAAAGGAGATAATTGGTGCAAATGCTATGAAGATGTGGAAACACTAGAGCACTTGGTGTTCCACTGCAAAGCAAGAAAAGATGCCTAGAAGACTTTCCCAATAAAATGGGATGCTATAAAAGAACAATCTTGGAATTCCTGGAAGTGGTGGGAAGCACTGCAGGGAGTTAGAGAAAGAACTGAGGGTATTAGCCAAATAGAAGCCACAGCAAATCTTCTGGGCAATTGTGGAAGGCTAGGAATGCATGGAACTTCAGCAATGAAACGTCTAATGCCAAACATATATCTAATAAGGCTATGGAGGAATGGCTCTAGTACAAACATCTGTTGATTACTGGAAAGATGGGAAGGAAAGACCTAAACTAGAAATACAGAGGAATGCCACCATCAAAGAATTCTAGAATCAACATGCAACTCTTATCTTTACTGATGCATCAATGGACAAGACAAGGAACAGAGGGGGTTTAGGTATTGTAATCAAAACCATAATGGTAACCTTGTCACTACTTGGGCCATCCCAACAAGAATGAAAAAAGATGTTGCCATACTAGAAGTAGAGGCAATCAGGACAAAAATGATTAAAGCCTTGGAGGAATGTTAGACATCTCTTCTTATCCACTCTGACTGTAAAGTTTTAGTGGTTAGAATTAATCACAGATGCACTAGAATCTCTCAATTAGATGCTTTGATAGATGATATTGTACATTTAGTAAGTCTTTTTGGCAATGCTCCTTCATATTTATTGGAAGGGAATGCAATCGCACTAGTCATGGTTTGCCAAAATGCCACTAACCTAATTGATGATTCTAGGTGGGAGGTATCCTTCCCTGTGTCCACAATGATATTCTAACTTTTGCCGGTAATATGCAATGGTAGTACTACTGTAACTACTTCTCATACATAAAATGATGACCTTTTGACAATAGGAAAAAAAAAAAATCTCATGATACGTTTATATATGAAAGATAGAATGGTTTCTCCTTGTGTTGATAAAGTTGGCAAATAGGGAAATTTGGAAGAAGAAGACAAGGATTTGATGAGTGGTTTGTTTGGACTTTCTATAGAACTTCTTGATCTTTATTTATTTTTTGAGATGCTAAACCTTTTGTTTTAGGTGAGAGTCTTTTGTTCACTCATGAAAATATTTAACACCATCTACTATTTGTTAAATTAGAGGAGATGGCTGATATTTTCTAAATCTCGGGATGTATCGATAGTTTGGAGTAAATGTAATTAAATCCACGCTTGATTTTGTATTGTGCTATAAACAGATATTTTTTTTTATTTACAATTATTTTTCTCTTTTTGTTGTCGCTCTCTCTATATGTATGAGAATCAAAACAATTATTATCCAAAAGAGGCACCCATGAGTCCATGACCCATATGGGGAAGAAAGACCAGGTTAGTTTATTACTTTTATCATTTATTTGACTCAAATTATCTATTACTTGTAAATTATAGACATGCAGTTTTAACTTTGGGATAATTTCAGAAACCTCCCTTGAAGTTTTTGATAGGATTAATTGGCACCAATTTTAAGAAAGTTTCACTTGTCTCCTTTACTTTAAACATTTTATAACATTTAAAATTCATTAAAAAATATAATATTAAAAAATTCATAATTTCATTCTAAATTTACCTTTATATTGCTCTTTAGTACAAAAACCTTTCTTTGGCTAGCTCTTTATATTATGAATATATAAAAATAAAGAAAGGAGGGAGACTAGACCAAAACCTCCAATACATTGTGATAAAAAAATATCAAATAAAAGACGAGTACTACTCTTTAATATTTATATAATAATTTTAAAAAAATTGAATATATTAATAATTTAAAAACAAAATCCAAAAGCAAGAAGGCTTAATTCTAATGGGACAAAATACAGTGTGCTTTTTAAAATATAAAGAATTAATATTTTGAAGTTTATTTAAAGTTTTTGCAAGTTACAAAAATGTTATTTTCTTTACAGTAAAGTGTGTTAAGTTAATTTAAGAAGTTTTATAAATTGTTTACCTTTTTTTCGAATTTTTTTAGTTTTTTTTTTGTCTAGATCAATGTCTTGAAAATTAAAAGAAAAAGAAATGCAGAAGATATATAATCTTTTTGTGATGTTTTCAAGTCAGTACAAAAGGTTATTTTCATTATTATAAAAATATTTCAAGTTATTTTACAAGTATTGTAAATTATTTATAATATTAAATATGTTAATATTTCTTGCCTAAACTAATGACACAAGAAAACAATTAAATGGTCCTTTTTCCATTTTCAATTAAAGAACCAAACCAATCAAGTGTATAAAAGTTAAGAGATAAAGTTAACGTTTTATGACAATTAAGAGTCTTAGGAAAAGGATAAATTTAGAATGAGATTATGCTTTCAAAATGAGGTTTTTTAATATTATATTTTAAAATACGTTGCAAAAGTTTAAAAAAAAAAAAAAATCACCTTAGAGCAGGGGAGACAAGCGAGAATTTTCAAATTTCAAAAGCGCCAATTGATATTGTCACAAACACGGGAGTCTGGCGTTCATTCTTCTTCCCTACTTCTCTCCAAATTTCACCGCCATCACCCGTGCGGCTGTGCATATGATATGAAAGCGAAACGCTCCTCGTCTTCTTCGCCCTTTTAGTTTTCCGTCTCCTTCTCTTGAATCTCTGCCACCCACTTGCTGTTTCGTGAAGAGTCTTCAAAGAGAGAATTTTGGGTTAAAGATTGATTTGTTACGGCTGTCTTTCTGTGCAATTTCTCATAAGTATTGATTTCCGTGCAATTTGTTACTGGTAAGTTTTTTTTATTTGCTAATTTGTTTATACCTTAAAAGTCTCTGAAAATCATGGCGAAAGCCTCAGTTCATGGATATCTGATGAGTCAATACGGGTTGACTCGGCCATTCTTTTGGGTCCCGGAGTCGACTCGGCCCGAATCTTCAGAGTCTAAATGAGTTTCCACCGATTCTACCGTCTCCGGAATATTGCGGACCTGTCGCGGAACGGAAGCTGAAATTCTCGCGACGACTCGGCGGGGCCGACTGGGACAGGGACTCGGCCGAATCTTTGAACCAATGAATCTTTGGATTATCAGACTTTTTAGAGAATCAAAAGAGATTGCACTTTAAGTCTTTCCGTCGTATCATTCATCTGATATCAAGTCTCTCTGAATGTGTTAATTGAAGTATCTATGTTCTCCTTATGGTTACTCTTCTATTACTACCACATATGTTGCCGGTGAAATATCATGTTTCTTCCTTTAGGTTTTCATGGTTTTGATTTCTCAATTTGTTTTATTTGAAATTGGTTTTATCTTTTCTATGTGCTGGCATGATTTATGGAGATAGTAGCCCATATTTTAGTAGCTTCATTTGTATTCAGAAACTAGCGATTGGATTACACAAAAATCTTTCAGCTTATTTTTATAGGGTTCTAGCTCACAGAACATTGCAAATTGCAAAATTTGCAAGATTATCGAAACTAATCTTTATATGCCAATTGGCTTCTTTTAATAGTATTGCCAAGAATATCCACAAGGAAGTAGATTTCTCTTTCTGTGTAGTATTAGAGCTAAGTGTGATAATTTTGTACTGCAGAACAATTTTAGCTTAGCTGTCAGATGCAACAGAGAAGCATGGCAAGACAGTTAACTCAGAAGCAGTTGATTCCGCAAGATGAGAATTTACATTTTCTAAGGAAAGGTAGAACTCCTTTCATTTGTATGTCTACCCTTCTTCAGTAGGAGACAAGTTTTGGTTGAAAGAATCTTGTTGATAAGCTTCAGCATTGAGCAGTCTAATAGTGTAAAAACAGATGCTGCTTAAGAGGGGATTGAATCTATCTCTTCATGAGCAGCATAAAGTTGAGCTTTTTTACATGGACACTTGATCTGAACCACAGTTAGCCATACCTGCATGATATGATATTGTATGAGATGTGTGTAGGATCTGGTCAAAGTTTGGCTTGGTGCACGAATGTGCTTTGACTCAAGATGGGGTTCTTGGACCCTAGTCATCCCTACTTAGAACAACTGCAGAGCTTAATGATAATTTTATAGCTTACTCATGGATGACACTATAGTACCGCATGTTTTTGTGTTGCTTCCCAAGTGTCTGTCATTTCGGATCACTAAACAACCTATTAGCTATAAGAACCGTGTTATATATCACAGTAGATAGAGAATGCTTTCTCTGCTATGTCTGTGTGTGCAACAACAATAATTTGTTCTGAATCATATGCATGAACCATTGTCTTATCTTTCAGCAGTATACCGGTATCCTGTATTTTAGGAGATCAGCGGACTTGACACCTGGATACATGCTCTTGCCAGATGCTGAAGCCATAGTCCATGTACCATAGGAAATTACAATTGAGATTTTAATCATTGCAGTTTAAGATCTTTGGACATTAAATTTTCTGCATTTTGTAAATATAGGTGGCGGTGTAGCTATTTCAGACCAGGCTATTTTAATACTCAATCGAATTAAATTCTTTTGTAGGGTCTGTTAAGGGTAAATCAACTGGCTTCAAACTGGAAAAAAAGAAAATTGGTACAGGGTTTGGGAATCGTAAAGCCCTCGGTGACATTACAAACAAGTCATCTGTTCACCATGAAGCATCATTGAAGAGAAAAAGTACACCAAAAGAAGAGCCTAACATGTCAGAGGAGATGTTTCTGCATGATCATAACAAGTGCATTGAATCACAGAAGGCAGCCATGAGAGCATCTTTCTGGGACACGCTGTTGCCTGGATGTGGTAAGTTTCATAGTTTGACTTGTCTAATTGTGGTATCTTTCACATGACTACTTTACGCAACACAAATGGACTGCCACTTAATCAAATCAATTCCTCTATGGTGTTAGATTAATATTTTGATTGGTAAAAATCAGCAAGTGTAAATCTGATGTCGTCAATAATTGGATTGGCATACTGGTGAGTGGCACATGTAAATGGCCCTTGGAGACTAGAATTTTTCATCCACAGCACTGTAATGTACATTATCTATTGGCTGTTAAGGATGTCGTCAATCAGATAAGTTAAAATTTGAACAAAAGGTTGTTGAAAACTATATGCTGGACATTTATTATATCATTTACAGTCTCAAACGGGGGAGGTTATGGCTGAAATTGATTGCTACCTTTTGGTTGACAGAAGTTAATGTCGGGCAACAGTTTTGGATATTATTGTTAGAACCATGCAGCTGAAGAAAGCATCCATCTTATGTTTCTAATTTTGCATGCCCCTGCATGGAGCCGGTAGTTAGGCAGATAAAATATGAAATCTTTACCCTTGAAAGTGAAGCTGCTTAACATAAACCCCTGGCTTTCCATACAAGTAAGAGGTGGATTTAGCTGAATTAGAAGTAGTGAAAAGCTGTTTTCTGTTCATGATTCCCTTTCTTAATTTGTTGACAGGTTCTAAAAAAAAGCCCCATCCCAGTCTTCTTGCCAAAATTTAGCTGATAACACGCTTTATTATACCTTTTGCCAGTGAAACCCGGACATTATATTGAATGAGATGTCCTAGACTTGCCTAATAAGTCAACCTCTCAGGCGTTAGAATACTGTCTTTATTAGTGAATGGAACACAAGTATATTCATTTTGTTGCTATATTTGATAAGAGTCACATTTTTCTGGATATGTTGATAGTATTATCTCTGATGCAGTTCCCCTCGAAATTCAGAAGATGAAATCTGCAAAGGTACTTGTCCTTCATCTTTCTAAGTTACACTACCGTATGGACTGAATTTCAATGGTTAAAGCATTTGACACATTTCAATTTTATCTTTCTATTTGAGGTCCAGAGTGAAATTGATACAGACAGTGAATGCTTTCATCCAGAACCAGTAGAGATCCCCATGTCTGATTACTCTGATCTTTTTCAGAGTTCAACATTTCCATCCTTGCCTACTCAAATATGGTTGGACTCTCCACCCTCGTCTCCATCTGAATGGGATCTCGGGCCAGTGGAATTCAAGCTGAAAGAAGACAGTAGTGATCCTTAAATCTAGAGCATGTTCATGATACTGTTCTCAATTTCTCTATCAGAAAGCATCTTCTAGTGGGTAGAATCAGAGAACTTTCTATCTTCCTGTTCTTAGATTCTAGGAAGCAGGTTTATTTACAGCAGATGATGAAGGTCGAGCTGAATGTGAACCAATATTGAAGTCGAATTTTGATTAGCATGACGATAGAAAGTTCATTCAGGATTCACACTTTTCATTCTTTGTTTACGTTAGAGAAAAATAGGTAATGCTATTGCTTCAATGAAAAATCTGTCATGATTTCACCGTCCTTTATGTTTGGTTATGGATGTTTCATCTAGGATCGCTTCGGTAAACAATGTCATGGAGAACTGAAGCTACGAAATGTCGATAAATGCAGATATTTTTTCCTTTTATTTTGTGTATATCTTTTGTTTGAAGTTCATTTATCTTTTGCATGTAGCGCATTTTTTTCCTTTTTGTGGTTGATGTTTTCTTTTTTATTTGAAGTTTTTTTCTTTCTTGAATTGTGAATTTTTTGGTTGTTTTAATTTTTCTTTTGTTCGTTTTATGAAGAAATTGTCGTCTCTAATTTTTCACAAACTCACATTCTCTATATGAGTTGGGAGGAGAATAATTAAAATTAAGGTTTCAAAAATGGGATAATATCAGAAACCTCTCCTGAGGTTTCTTGAAATATCACTAAGCTCCTCCCACATTTTGGAAATCTCTCTTACCACCCCTGAAGTGATAATGGGGTCAGAAGTCACTATGAAATTCATCAGCTGCCAATAGTACTCTTGTTTTTGCTGTTACCTTATTCAGCTGATAAAAGGAAAAAAAATGACAAAAAAAGAAAGCATGCAACTGTATAAAGCCTAGGAAACAATTGCTGCCTAGAAGCTGAGGTCCGTATGTATTGCATGGCGCCATTTTGCTCTGATAAGATGTCTAAATGCCCGGGAACTGAAGAGGAATGAAATACTACTTATAACTGTGATTGTTATTTGTAGCTTGGAGAACGAGTTGAAGCTATCTTTCTGGAAATCTCTCGCTGGATATTGCAGAGGAGGAGAAATATGGCACTTCAATGAATTGCATGCGTTCGGTTGGAGTGAAGTGATTTTGTCAAAACTAAGCTATACAACAGGTAAAAATCTTCCATTGTGATTTGCCTATAATATCTCTCTTTTAAGAAGGTGTTTTTGTGTTTTATTGGACTTGATGACCGAGTTTAAGATCCAACCAGAGCCTTTGTATGTGATCCTTATATTAAGTATTGTCGATGTTGGATGCTGTAAAGAATGTCTAATTTGATGAACTATGCTTGACCTTGATTTTATTGGTTCAAAAAAAGTTGATTAATATTGACTTTTTTCAAGCTGTAATACATAAGAACAGCTTAGCTTTGTAGCTTAAAGCTGCAATACATATGACAAGCTCTAAGTGTAGTGTATACAGTTGGTTTGTAGACAAAAGTGAAATTAGAAATGAAAAGCTGGTGTAGTTGAAAGTTCATGGAAGCTGCTATGAAGGTTCTATTTTGCAACCTGAGTTTGACTTTGAATGAGCATGCGTGTGTTATACTATGTCCCTTGTGAGCATATGTGATCCTTATAGCAACTAATTGAAACTTTTCTTGTGAACACACTGATATGTAGGATGGGAAGAATTATTGCACATGATATTGTAGTTCATTACATGGGAAACACTGTTAGAATTCCTAATGTCGATCCAAATAACTACCAATATATTGACCTTCTCGATGATGTTATTGATAAGGCAATGAATGATTTGCCTGGAAATTTGAACATGCTTGTGCATATGAAATGTGCGATTCCTAGGACAACAGGCTTTATGGACATCAGTAGTGACAAATTAATCCTTGATATGCTCAAACTTCATGAAAATGATCTTGTCATAAACTTGTACTTGCTGTACCTGGATATTATTCCTACTACAGAGGAGAATATGGTAGACAACAGGAATAACCAATTTCAGCTGGCACAGAAAGACATAGGAATCGAAGAAGCTCCTATTCCTGTAGTTGACAGTGAGGGTGATGATGAGATTTATGCTTCTAGTTCTGATGACTCTTGGAAGGATGACATAGATAGTGACTTGGAAGATGTCATAGCTGAAGATAGGGCCTTAATTTCTTCCAGTGACAAGGAGGAAAATGATTTGTCTGATTATGAGGAGATTGAGGATGCACAAGTTGTGCCTGATTCAGAATTTGACCAAGAATCAGATCCTATGAGAGCAATCATGCAGTAAAAAATGTGGACTTAAAATCCAAGAGAGGACATTGAGTATGAGAAAGGGATGCTATTTACCAATGTGGATGCATTTAGAGCAGTGTTGAAGGACTATGCTATTCAGAAAGGATTTCCGTTGGTGAGATTGAAAAATGAAAAGAGCAGGTGCACTGCCAAGTGTGGTGCTGAGGGTTGTAATTGGAGGATTCATGCATCCCTAGTTGCTGATACAACCACATTCATGGTTAAGACATATACACCTGAGCATACGTGTGTCATGAATAGGAAAAATTCAGAAGCAACATCTGATTGGATTGCAAAGAAATTAATTTATGTTATGAGAGATCACCCAGAGATGACAAGTAAGGGAGTAAAGGCTGAAATGCAGAAGCATGGAGTCTTGCCAAGTAGAATGCAAATTTACAGGGCAAAAAATAAAGTCTTGGAACAGATAGAAGGATCACACAATGAGGCCTATGGAAAGTTACCAAAATATGCTGAACTTTTGAGGATGCACAACCCAGGAAGCATCATGAAAATTCACTATGATAGGCCAAACCTTCTTATAGAGCCTAAATTTCTAAGATTGTTCATCTCTTTCAAGGCACAAAGAGATGGTTTCCTGGCAGGTTGCAAGCCATTTATTGGCTTTGATGGTTGCCATTTGAAAGGTGCATTTGGGGGCATTCTGTTAATTGCTGTTGCTCTTGATGGGAACAACAGTTTGTTTCCATTAGCTTTTGCTGTTGTAGAGTGTAAAAACAAGGAAGCTTGGAGTTGGTTTTTTTATTATTTTCAGGAATTCTTTGGACCATTTCCAACCAATATTTCACTCACCTTCATGAGTGATAGACAGAAGGTATGTTACCTGAATTTCTGTTTCATGTTTCAGATTTCTTCCATTGCTGTTATAGTGGCTGAATCAAGTATTTGAAGGAATTTGTTTCTAAAACTTCTGTATAGGGACTCAACCTTGCTTATGAGGAACAAGTGCCTGAAGCTGCTGCACGATATTGCTGTTGGCACATCTACTACAACTTCAAAGTGAAATTTCCAGGATCGCTTCTAAGGAGATTTTTTTGGCAAGCAACTAAAAGCTATGATCTGATAGGACACAATGAGGCTATGGAAAGAACAAATAATATTAACATAGATGCTTGGAGATACTTAGTAAATATTCCTAAGTGTAACTGGGCAAGGCATGCATTTTCTATTGAAATTAAGTGTGATCATGTTACCAATAATTTCACAGAATCTTTTAATGCATGGGTTGGAGAACTGAGAGGGAAGAATATACTTGCTCTGGCTGATGGACTGAGACAAAAATTCATGAAGAAACTACATAAGAGGTATCAAAAAGGCTGCACATGGACATCTAGTGTTACTCCACATATTACTAGTAAGTTGAAGGGTATTGCGGCTGAATCAAGAAGGTGTTCACTAACAATGGCAAGTGAGAACACATTTGAAGTAGCAGATGTCGATAAGTCCTATATAGTCAAGTTGATTGAGAGGACATGTGCATGCCGGGCTTTCCAGTTGACTGGCATTCCTTGCAAGCATGCTGCTCTAGGAGCTACTTATAGAAGGGAGAAACTGAAAGGCTATTGTGATGCAGCCTTTTCCAATGATCAATATTTGAAAACATATGCATTCATGATCAACCCAATTTTACATATGAATAGGTGGCCTCCTATGGAAGATGTGACACTAGCAGTAGTTTTGCCACCACCACTTAGAAGAAGAGCTGGCAGACCAAGAAGAAATAGAAGAAGAGCACCTGATGAAGGAGCTTCTGCATCTCAACACAAGAGATCAATCAGTTTCAGGTGCTCTAAGTGTGGTGCATTTGGACATAATAGGAGAACTTGTCAAGGAGCTCCTATTGCTGAAAAAAGAGGCAGCAGTACTTCTACAAATCAGGTATCAAGTCGAAGAGGAAGACCAAGAAGAGGCATTGCCAATACTGGATTAGCAGGATCTGTTCTATGGGTAATTGTAGCAATGTCAACTTACAGTATCTTTATGTGTATTAATTCCTTGCAAATGAGCTTAGCTTTTGGTCATGATTTGTCAGGAACATGCACAAGGAAATGTCCCAGTCATTGTATCAAGTCAAGGGAGTAATGGAAGCACTCAAAATCAAACTGCTGGAGCTAATGTTCAACTTAATCATTCTGCCTGCACTAGTACTAATACCAGAAAGGTATAGTACATCAGAAATTAGTTTCATCACTTATTGCTAACTATTCTAACTATCAAGGCCATTAGTTTAATAGAATTTGTTGCATAGCTTCAGAGAGGAGGGCCAAATGCAGGGGTTGGAACTAGGGGTGCAAACGAGCCGAGCTCGAGTCGAGCTTTGGCTAATCGAGCCGAGCTCGAGTTAATTTTGTGAAGCTCGAACTCGAGCTCGAGCTCGAGTCAAATTCGAGTCGAGCTCGAGCTCGAGCTCGAGTTTAAAAAATAAAAAAAAATAATAATTATTATTTTATTTTTAAAAAATAAAAAATAATTTTTTTTAAAAAATGAATAAAACAATAATTTTTTTAACAAATAATAAAATATTAGGGATATATATGTAATTTTACAATTAAAATAAATAATAAAAAAATATATATAATTGAGCTCGCGAGCCGCTCGCGAGCCAACGAGCTTAATGTTTTTGAGCTCGAGCTCGAGCTCGAGATCGACTTAATTAGCTCGAGCTCGACTCGAACCGATATTGACGAGCTCGAGTCGAGCTCGTATTCGAGCCGCTCGCGATCGGCTCGCGAGCGGCTCGATTCGCGAAACACCCCTAGTTGGAACTACTGTTGCTAACAACAATAAGAGAGCCAGACCTTCCATTGCTGTTTGTCCACAACAAACTCCAGTAGTCACTCCATCTGCAAGATTTCCAACGGTCACAGCATCTTCAATATCCACTTCTGCAATTACGGGATCTCATATTGACAATAGCAGCATCAGTATGTGGTTCTAATTAGTACTAGTATTATGAGTTTTGCTTTGGGAGACTGATATGGTATTTTTGTATATGTAGCAATCCTCATCATCTAGAATGATGTTTTTAGATGATGTTTTCTGAGATTCTTGTTGATTGCTACATACTTTTGATTAGTTGTATATGTAACGTATGCCAAGTGCTTAATTGCATTCCCAGTCCCAGTGAACGACTAAACGACACATGTTTTGGTACTTGCTTGGGAATTGCAATTTACTCTTGTCAAGTATGCTCTGCTGCTATCCACAGATCTTGGAACATATGACTTATTACCTTTATGTATGGAATCTGCTAACTTCAAAGATGTCATGTTGTGGTTTTTTTTTTAACTCTATGACTCGGATTCCTTAGGATTATGTATGGAATATGAGCTGTTGTTTTCCAATGAACTTACCAGTAAAGTATTGTTGTACTTAAGGAACTTCACTTGTGTGCTTAATGCATTTTCTATCAAATATGATTGAAAGGTACAACAGTAATGCAACAAATTTGGTAGGCATACCTATGAAGTAAAATACAGCTTCAACTCTTTTTCACATAGCTTAACATCATGTCCGACTTACACATGCCTTCTGGTTCTTTCATGTATGACCAGTAAGGCTCCAAACAGCTTGGAACACATATACTATTATTGGAACAAGAAAGTGTGATTGCTTTAACGATTTGAATGAAAAGATAAATTGCTAAGAGTACAAGATTGATGATGAACAAGAAGGTGATGCATGCATTCTGTTGAGGCACAAAGTTACATTCCTGATTTGCTTTCCTCAATGGAAGCACTGCAGAATCAGCTTCATTTCTTTGGCTCTGCAACTCTTCACCTTCATTTCTTTGGCTCTGCAACTCTTCACCTTCATTTCCTTCATACCACTGGAAGTAGTTGCACTTTGAACAACTAAAATATAGCTTATTCGGATTTCTTTCACTCTCTGAGATTCGTAATGTAGTCTTGCGATTGCATTTACAATACCGGTTCTTCATGCTTAATGATGAAGATGATTGTATGACTGCCCTTCAAAGGGTGAACTAGGCATTTCTTCATCAGTTACCTCTCCAAGTTTTGCAGCTATTTCATGCGGTTCCCTCACCTTTTAATACCGCTGGAAGCACTCAAAGTAGCCGTTGCATGTCCAACGGTCATGCAACAGTGCTCATGCCAGAAAAATACTCTCCAATTCAAATTTTCCACCTACTGCAACTTTTTTATGTCACAGGATTCAGTCAAACTAAGGGTATGAAGGGAATTAAAATACTTTCCCTCCTCCAAAATGCATATTCTATTGTTACTTTTGCTTAGAGGGGCTGACATTGTTAAGAAAATGTCAATTCAAAGGGTGGTAAGAGAGATTTCGAAAATGTGAGGGGAGCTTAGTGATATTTCAAGAAACCTCAGGGGAGGTTTCTAATATTATCCCTTCAAAAATTTGACAGATTGGAGTAGGGATCTGGTATGGTGATGATATGATGGAGACGTTACTGAATCTGTGATGGGGATGATATTTTAGAAATAATAAATTGGTGACTCGATTATTTGAACCGGTTGAATCGGGAAAGGTCAGAACCAGTTATATTGCTGGGTTAAGTCCAGAAAACCCTGATTCTTTGTTTGTTTATTTTGTTTTTAATTCTTGGCGTCCAAAACAACCAAAGCTTAAGAATATATGGTCAAATTACCTTAATGGCCCTTGAATTTTTCAAATTGTATACTTTTGGGCCCCAACTGTTGAACTTAATTAAAGTGTATGTTTTTAGCTCTCTTGCCAGTTTTAGGTGTCAAGGCTGACCAAAAGAGCAATAGGAGCAGTGAACAAGCCAAAATAAAAGTTTTTTTTTCCAGTATAGTAAAATGGAAGAGCCCCAATTTGGAGTTTCTTGATTGAACACAAATTAGACTTAGTAAATTATGTAACTGGACACCTTTTAACAGAATAGTTTATTGCAACAACAATAATGGAAAATTTGACATCAATTGGGCCTTGAAATAGCTAGTAACAGTCGAGGTAGTGCTTAGTTCTGCCATGGAAATTTGCAAATATTTGTGCCGAATTTCTAATCAATTTGAACTTTTCATACTTTACAAGATAATTTGCACCTATATATTTGGTGAAAGAATTTTTATAACAATGGTAGAATTCTCATCTATCGAGATTCATTGAAGTCAAGGCTGAATTTGGAATCTGTGCAAAATAGAATCCATGGGTGTAATTTGGTCAAATTTCAATAGGTACATAATGATTGGTAGTCACTGAAAATTGCTGGAGGTAAAAGAAGATTAAAACTATAAACTAATCTTTTGTATAACGATAATGTATACACTAACAGGCGGGTTCTTTCACTTTTACAACTAAAGTTTATAAATTGGTTAAAAGCATATACAGATTGGATAAAAAGGTATTCTTCTAAAATTGAGTAGTAATGTGATACAATTAATAGTCGAAGGCCAAAAAGTATACAAATATAACAGTTCAAGTGCCATTTAGATAATTTGCTAAAATGGCATATCAATTGAAGAACTAGACATTGCTTATTTAGTATCTTAATATCCTCAAAGCTTTCAACAATTTTTTATCACATCCCCCTTTGGCCCTGAAAGAAGTGCTGCACGTATGACTGTTTATTCCAAATCAGTCGAAGGATCATACAAGGAAGGGACCAAATAAAGGTTGTTTTTCCTTGTTGCTGTTATTCCATTATTCTCTAACATGTCCAATTCTTTTGACTCCATACCATCCGGGAGTCTCCAGTTGAAATGACAAAGCAGTAGAGCCAATGGAAGCTCAACATTGACCAAAGCAAATGACATTCCTGGGCAAATCCTCCTTCCTGCACCAAATGGCACAAACTCGAAGTGATTTCCTGTGAAATCAACCAGGTTATTATCAAATCTCTCTGGTACAAAGCTCTCCGGATCACTCCAATGCTCCGGATCCCTTCCAATTGCCCAGAAATTAATCATGACCTTTGTTTTGATTGGTATGGTATATCCATTTAGTTCACATTGCTCCCTGCATTCTCTAGGCAGGAGCAAAGGGAAAGGAGGGTGTAGTCTTAGGGTTTCTTTGGTCACCAACTTCAGGTATCTCAATCCTTGAACATCAGCCTCATCTATGTTCTGCTTTCCCTTGAAGGCTTGCCTGATTTCTCTCTGCGCCTTGGCCATCACATCTGGTTTTCTGATCATCTCTGACATAGCCCATTCAACGGTTGAAGATGAAGTTTCAGTTCCAGCAGCAAACATATCCTGCATTAGTAATGCAACATTGTTCATTATAGTAATAACTTAGTACCCAAAGAAAGTAAGCAGAGAAGGAAAGAATTCAGGGTCCGTAGCATGACTTACAAAGATGATAGCTTTGATATTGTTATTGGTGATTGGAAACTGAAGGTTCCCACTATCTCTAATTCGCAGTAGAACATCAATAAGATCTTCTTGACTAGCATCAGCAACCAACTTCTTGTTCCTAGTCTGGTTCTTGATGTGCTCCTCGATTAACTTTTCAAATATACTGTCCATTTTGTGGTGGATCTTTAGCAATTTAGGCTTCATTCCAGTCAGGACATGAAGAATTTTGTAAGAAGGAAACAGATCAGCAATGTCAAAACCTCCTGCTAAAGCTGCCACTTGCTTCATTAATTGTACGAATTCGTATTGATCTTCTTTGGAAACTTGACCAAATGCTGCTCTACAGACCATGGAACTTGCATATGAGAAAACTTGTTCAGTTAAATTCACCTTCTTACCTGCTAAAGGCCTTATTGCTTCAACCAGGTGCAAAACCTCATCCTGCCTAATATTTTCGAAGGACCGGACACTTTTGGCACTAAGAAGCTCCAATACGCTAATTTTTCGCATTTGTCTCCAATAATCACCATAAGGCGAAAATGCAATATCTTTACTATCATAGCAGATGATCTTGAACGCAAGAAGTTCAGGCCTGGTCGCGAAAGAAAGATCGTGCGTTTTCATGATCTCTTTCGCTAAGTTTGGTGATGTAACAACGATGAGTGAAACTTCACCAAGCTGCAGATGCATCAGGGATCCATATTTTTGAGCTAAGTTTTTCAGACAGCGATGTGGAAGTGAACCTATCAAATGATGCATACATCCAATAAATGGCAGCTTCCATGGACCTGGAGGCAATTTCTGGATGGTTTTGGTTTTCTGGGATCTTTTCAATTCTTTGATTAGAGTCAAGAGAATGGCTGCAACCAAGAAGCAAGGGATGAAATTTGAGGTGATACTCTGAAGCTCCATTGATTGGTGATGGATGAGTATTCTTTCCTCTGAATTTGTCTTTGTATCCACATCGCAAGTTTATAAAAAAATCTTTCATTGTGGCGGTTATAAATATAATGGATTTGAGTTTAAGTGTGTTATAGGCACCAACTCAAGTATACATTAGTTTAAGAGAGTTTTAGGAGATTCACGCTTCATTTTGAAAGGAGTTTTAATTAGGCATCAAACTAAAAGAGCAAGTTATGGGTCTTTGGACCGTTAAATAATTTGTACTATTTAGATTTTTTTGTGTTTCAATTTTAGGTGACTTTTCGGTTTGGAAATTATTGTTTAGGGTTTTGTACTCTCTTTCTTTATATCGAATCACGTAAAATTTTGTGTTTTCCTGTTTGATTTATTTGATTTGTTATTATTTTTATTGGATTGCTAAGAACCATATATTATTCTCGTTACTAATTTCCTGAAACCAGACCTTACAGTACCTATATAATAAAAGTAATTCTTGTATACATTAGACAATGTAGCCATACGATAGAAATAAATTTTATACACACTATTACACACGCATGATATATTCTAATTATTGAGTCCTCGTAAACCTAATTAATTCATTGGTCACAATTCCCAATCTCTTGTCAGTTGCAGAAAGTTTTGGTTAGTTTCTTTTATATTATTCTATTATCCTCTGTCAGAGTAGATCAAATTGCTGAAGCACGAAAATCGACAAGGAACGGTAGTTCAAGTCAAAATAATTGAACATCAAGTTGTCAAGTGGCCAACAGAGTTGTCAAATTCCCTCGTCAAAGTTGTTTCATTTGCAACCTCCGCTGTTTTTGAGAAGGAAAATGACACTCTGGCCGATAGAATGCATCGGACAAAAATGGCCAACAGACGAGGCAGTTTTGAAAAGGGAAAATGATCAATTTAGTCCCTATACTTTTTTTTACTATCAATTTAGTTCTTACATAATTTTTTTAGCCAATTTAATTACTATACTTATTTATCGGTTCCAATTGAGGAAGTCCGCGGCGGCGCCACCTTATAATTCCAATCAAACGTCTAATTGAGCACTTAAGCAGGGGTATTTTGGATACTTCAGCAGGGGCTCCTTTTCAGAAGTAAAAATCAAGACCAAAAGTGACCGGCACACTTTTATCACCACTGAGAAAACCTACCTGAAACCTCAACTTTTTCTTGCAAAAATCGACTGAAATCTTGCAAGAAATTTTCTGTTGGTTATTGACATGTATCTACTTCGCAATATTGCATTAATAATGCAGTGTTCAACTTTACAACTGGAGCTCATGATGTTGCTGTGGTGACATCAAAGTCAGCCTATGATTCCTGCAACACCTCTGCCACCGGAACCACAATGAACACCGGTCCAACCAGAATTACCCTGACCACCCCAGGTCAACATTTCTACATATGCACCTTCCCTCGACACTGCTCACTAGGCCAAAAGCTAGCCATCAACGTCATCGGAACTGCTGCCACTCCATCACCAACTCCGGCCCCCACCAGGCCTCCATCCGGCCCTGCCTCTGCTCCTGCTCCTTCATCGACCGGCGCAACTCCACCTTCCAGCTCTTCCACCCCACCACCCTCTAGCTCTCCTAGCACGTCACCTTCGGGCTCTACCACTCCATCTCCGTCTGGTTCTCCAGCTGGTGTCTCAGCTCCTCCTCCACCAAACTCTGCTCCATCTTTTGCGGTAGCAGTGTTGCCATTCACTTTCTTGTCGATTGCCTTGGCTTTCTTGTATTAGATTTAGCTAGCGACCATTGACGACTTTTATTGTTTGCTATTATTTTATTTTTGTTACCATTTTCGCATTACTGCTATTGTTATTCCATATTTTTCAGTCATCTGTTCGGTATTATTCCGTTAGATTGATTGTCATATTTCAATTTTTCAGCCATTGATTTGATTGATAAATTGAGTAATTGAGAGAAAAGGTGCGTGCGTTTTGACTATTTGTCTAGCTTGTGCCAAAATTTCCAAATGCAAGGGGAAAAACAGACAATCTTGACCACCCGCATCCTTTGAAATCGACTGAAATCTTACAAGAAAAAGTTGAGGTTTCAGGTTTGGGTTTTTTTCAGTGGTGATAAAAGTGTGCCAGTAACTTTTGGTTTTGTTTTTTACTTCTGAAAAGGAGCCCGGCAGTGAAGTACCCGAAATACCCTTGCTTAAGTGTTCAATTAGACGTTTGATCGGAATTACAAGGTGGCGCCGCCGCGGAGTTTCTCAATTGGAACCGATAAATAAGTATAGGGATTAAATTGGCCAAAAAAATTATGTAAGGACTAAATTGACAGTAAAAAAAAGTATAAGAACTAAATTGATCATTTTCCCTTTTGAAAAGACAACTCCTCATATACGAACAGTCCACAGTCCAGCTTCCACTCAAACGAAGAAACAGTACCATGATGAAATTTTAGTTACGTTTGGGGACAAAACCTGACTTGGGGGTGACATTCACAGGTTTGGCTGATTGACAAACGCTGCTGGTACCATTTTTTCTTTTTTGGTGCATGCGTTTGAGTGAAGGGGCTAGTAAGGTCAGAGAGATGGTTGGAAAATGAAAAGGAGAGCCAAAGAAGAAAGCTCATAAGTTTCAGTTGAAACTGATTACATAAATTTGTAAATTCATATAATTTCGATGTAATTGTTCTTTTTTTATACCAAATTAATTGTATAAGTTACAAAATTGAGTTTTATATCCAAATTGTACTGGTTTATACAAGATATTGTAAGAATTACACAACTAATTTGAATTGGACAACAACTCAATTTGTAAAACTCTGAATCCACTAAAAATTGGCATGATTTTAGGCCTATAGCATAGCAAATAGAGAGAGAAATCCAAAAAAAAAAAAAGAAGAAGAAGAAGAAAGATGACACGATAGTGTTTATGTTTAATGCGGATGTCAGGTGCACCACTCCTCCCAAAAAAAAAAAAAAAAAGCCCCACGACGTGATTCATACTCTAGGGTCTCATAATATATTATTATTATTAGTCTACCACTCCTTTCTAGTAGCTGTTTTGAATTAAATTAGTAAAAGATTTATCAATTGAATAGAAGGTGTCTAATTTTTTTTTTTTTAACCGAACGACAACAGTAGATATATTGCATCTGAATAATAATATTTTTACAGGACTGGAGCAACTGCTTCCGGATCATCTCTGGCTAATCTAACCAAAGAGGGAAGGAATCCTTACAAGTGATTTCACTGACCAAGATTATAGCAAATTTTGCTTAACTTGTGACTAACATATATTATAGTTACCTTCACTTTCAACAAAGGAAAAGTGAAATTTTCAGGAGTTTCCTTGGCTGTTTAATGTTCTCTACAATTGTACCAATTCGTGCATCTTCAGCGCTCTCCTGCTCAATCTTTTCCACTATTAGCTTGCAATCTGATTGGATTTCAATTTTTCTCTTTTTGATTTGATGACTGCGGTCCACCAGTGGCTCACTACACCTTCTGTCAGGTCCTGCCCATGCTTTCATGATTCAACCATCTGCCTTTCTTGCTACAATTCCCCAGCCAGCTGTCTTTTTTCTTTGGGTCAAAGTGCAGCATTATTATTCAGCTTAACACCATCATTTTGCGGTGGTTGCCATCCAATATTTGTAGTTTGGTTTCTATCTTCTGTTTCCTTTTCATTTTCCTTTACCTATTACACCATTTGGTACTCCTGCTACTCTTGCACAGCTTTGTTCATAATTATTCCTGGACCTTTCCTTTCGTTATTAAATTGAATCTAGTTCCTTGATTTCCAAATTTGCTATAGAATATTAACTGTTAGTGCAATATGTTCTCTCCCTTCATTCCTCAACTTTGCCTGTATAAGACCATTCCATCACAACCAGAAGTTCTGTCTAAATTCACTTAATCAATCCCGCTTAATTGGTGCAACTCTCCATATCGTGTCAGCATGCTTGCAAAAGAAAAACATGTGCTCTAGAGTTTCTGTTCCATCCCACGCAGCAGACACATTTGTCATCCCCTCTTCCTATTCTGCTCCTTATCAGCTCATTGATAGGTAAAATTCTGTTAAGACACTTCCATATAAAGTGCTTTAGTTTGTGCTTCATATTTAAACTCCAGAGGAACTTCCAAGCTTCAGTATTTTCTCATTTCTACTGTTGTTTTCCTCTAGTTTGTGTTTCCTGTTTTCACTGTATAGTCTCCTGATGCTGAATAAGGCCATACCATCCTATCTTTGCCATCACCAATGTTGACTGGGATATTGGCAATTTTCCAATAGTCTTCTTCATTCAGTACCTTATGTATCAAGTCCATATCCCGTCTTCCATCTTTTATCAGCTTATGAACTTTTTGAATTGGGCAATTTGGTGGTTTTTAAGATATTATCTTTCCTTTACCTCTGTCCAGTATGCACTTGTCATGCCATATATCAATGGTGTGCCCATCCCGTACTTTTTTTGTAGCTCCTCTTTCCAGTAGATCTTTTGCACTGAGTATGCATCTCCACATCCATGAGTCACTTCCTTTTGCTTTCATTTTCCATATTGATTCTCCCCTAAAATATCTTCCTCTCAAAGTTTTGCTCATCATCAGGTTTGGTTTGGTTAGCGTTCTTCATAGTTGTCTTGCTAGCATTGCTTTGTTAAATTCCTGCAAATCTCTGAAGCCCAACCTCCTATCCTTTTACCTCTGTCATTTTTTCCCACCTAATCCAGTGTACTTTTTTCTCTTTTTTAATTCTCCCAACCAGAATATTGCCATCTCCTTGCAGATATCCATACACAGACCTAACTTGCAGCAAGCCATTGCATATGCAAGCATGGCCAAAATCACTGATATCAGCAATACTTCTTTCCCTGCCTGACTCAACAATCTTTTCTTCCACCCTTGCAGCCTGTTCACCGCTTTATCCTTGATATAGCTGAATATCTGTTTCTTGGGTCTGCCAATTGCCATTGGTAGGCCCAAGTACTTGCTTTGCTTAACATCTTTCATTCCATCAAGAGTTCTCAGAATTTCTGTCTTTGTAATCTCCTCTATGTTCTTGCTAAAGAATACACAAGATTTTTCAGCATTGATCATTTGGCCAGATGCCTCTTCATACACCTTTATAGTCTGCATCACCTGTTGTTCCTCCTCATTTGTAGCTTTATAGAAAACAAGGGTATTATCTTCAAAAACAAATGAGACAG